TTGAGCCATGGCAGTTAATCTATATAAATAAAAATGAAATGTTCGTTGTGGGATTAACATAACTCAAAAACCACTGGACAAACTGAGCCAAATTTGGCCTCAAGACACCTACTAACTCAAGGACTGACCACCACTCAAAAACTGATTTTGTCATTTGGGAATTGTAGTTGCTGGGATTTATAGTTCAACTACAATCAAAGAGCATTCTGAACTCCACCAATGATGGAATTGAACCAAACGTGGCATACAGGACTCCCATGACCAACAGAAAACACTAGAAGGGTTTGGTGGGCATTGACCTTGAGTTTGGGAGTTGTAGTTCACCTACATCCAGAGAGCACTGTGGACTCAGACAATGATGGATGTGGACCAAACTTGGCAAGAATATTCCATATGCCCAAATATGAACACGATGGAGTTTGCGGGAAATAGACCTTGACATTTGGGAGTTATAGTTGCTGGGATTTATAGTTCACCTACAATCAAAGTGCATTCTGAACTCCACCAATGATGGAATTGAACCAAACTTGGCACACAGAACTCCCATGACCAACTGAAAATACTAGAAGGGTTTGGTGGGCATTGACCTTAAGTTTGGGAGTTGTAGTTCACCATCCAGAGAGCACTGTGGACTCAAACGATGAATCAGGACCAAACTTGGCACAAATATTCCATATGCCCAAATATGAAGACAGATGGAGTTTGGGGAAAATAGACCTTGATATTTGGGAGTTGCAGTTACTGGGATTTATAGTTCACCTACAATCAAAGAGCATTCTGAACCCCACCAACGATAGAATTGGGCCAAACTTCCCACACAGAACCCCCATGACCAACAGAAAATACTGTGTTTTCTGATGGTCTTTGGTGACCCTTCTGACACCCCCTCACAACCCCCCCCCAGGGGTCCCAAACCCCAGGTTGAGAAATGCTGCCTTAAGGCCATCCAGTCCAACTCCCTTCACCAGGGCAAGAAAACTAATCAAAGCCCTCCTGACAATGAGCCATCCAGTCATAGATATAGATAGATAGATATGATTCACACACACACATAATAGTATCATAGATTTGAAAGGACCCCTAAAGAAGGACAATTAAATGTTGCATGTTCCAGAGTAGGCAAACCAGACACCCTCCACATCCACACTGACAAAGAAACAACAAGAAATACTGTTTACCCACAAGCATAAAGAAATTACATATATTAGAAACCAACATTTTCTCATAACCTTATTTTCCAGATCACCAGACTGGGCCACAGCAATATGTGACAGGGGACGGCTAGTGTGGTATAAAAATGCATTAATATCCCTTATCCAGAATTCTAAAATATTCCCAAATCCAAAATTGTTCACATTTGTGGCCGACATCTTTGCTTCCTGATAGCTTCCTGATGTTTTATGCACATTTTTTTTTTAAAAAACGTAGTGTGTATAAAATTATCTTCAGGCTGTAAGATGGATATGAAACATCAGTGCCTTCCATGTTTAGAATTGGGTCCCATCCCCAAGGTATCTTAGTAGCACAGCAGCACAGCTGGTTAATCGCTAGATGCAATAGATCAATGCTAACCAGAAGGTGGCAAGTTCGAAGCCCACATTGGATTGAGCACCCGACTGTCAACTTAAGCTCACTGTCCACCTAAGCAGTTTGAAAACAGCTGAGCTCTGAGTAGTGTTGGGGTTCAGTCTGATCCTGATCTGTGTGAACAGGATTCTCTGATAGTTTTTCAAACTGAGCAAGCTCTCCCTGACTCTGACAGTGTGGAATCTGTTGTTGATGCAGAGGTCAGTGGGAATGAAAACGAAACCCAACAGTTAGAAGAGAATGTTTTGGAAGTTAGCCGTGATATCTCCCCACCTGGGCTTGATAATGAGGTCCGAAGAGAACAGATAGTGAGAGATAGATTTGTTTCCCAGTCTGTACGAAGGTCACAGCACCTTCAGCAGAAAGAGGCCCAAACAGAAAAGTCAAGGGGCGTTTCTAAGAATAGCTTCTTTGGTTTAAGAGCATCCCTGCCGGGTGCTTCTTTAGGTCAAGCAACGTTCGGGACTGTGGCTGGTCTTGGCAGAATTCCTGTGTTCCATGGCCAGTAATCCCAGAGGCTTGTAGTTTCCAAGTTCATGGTTAGTAAAAGGCTAACAGACTCCTGGTTATTGTTTTGTGGCTTTTGAAGTTTTGCTCAAGTTCAGAGATCCTATTGACTACTGTGTTTTTCTGTGGCTTTTTTACTCTGCATTTACCTTTCTTTTGTAACCAATTTTTCATCAATAAACAAGGATTGCTTTTCCTACAGTCCAGAGTGGTGGATTTAATCTTATGGTCTTGTTTCTTGAACTGGGATGCAACAGTAAGGTGCAAACCAATTCAAGGGAGGTATTTTACGACACCATAGGGTGATCAAAGGACAAAGGAAGGAAATCTCTGCGCTCAAAAGGACTTGTTGTCACAGTGGATGGAGCGACAGCACCCCTGTGGCCAGAATAGAGCATAACCTCCAGGTGCCAAAGTTGGAAAATGCCAAAATACCTCTATCCATCTGTCTGTCTTGTATGTCTACAATGGCACTGAATATTTGTTGTGTATGTGTGCATTGTGATCCATCCTGACTCCCGTTCGGGTTGAGAAGGGCAGAATATAAATACTGTAAATAAATAAATAAATAAATAATATACCTACTATATTTCTTTGATTCTAAGACACACTTTTCCCCATATAAGCATCTCTGGGAGAGGTAATATATGCATTATTATCATTATCATTATCATTATTAAAACAGAATATACACTATATAATTCAGTTCAAAGCAGATAATCTGGATTTAGAAACTGGATTATCTGGCAGTGCAGACGGGACTTCATTCTTAGGCTCTGTTTTTTATTTAATTTTAGTTTGTTAAGTTATAATTCGTATTTATATGTTGGGTTGTATAAATTTTGTTAGTATGGATGTATTGTTGTTGTATTCGGGCATTGAATGTTTGCCTTTTATGTTTGGAATCCAGCCTGAGTCCCTTTGGGGAGATAGAGCATAATATAAATAAAGTTTGATTATTATTATTATTATTATTATTATTATTAGGATGGCAATAAACTGAACAACTTCAAAGCCCTCTCTTAATGCCCTAGTCTCCAGCTATGAGTTGAGAAAATGCTTCTTAAGAATAACACATGGCATATCGGACCCATTTTGTGATTTGTTGGAACACATTTGGAAATATTATTTTAGAATTGGAAGCATTCTGACGCTCTTCTTTTATTAAATCCTTAATACTCTGCATTATTTTAATGTGCAGCTGGACACATTTTCTGCAGCTAGGAAGAGGACTGTGTGAAATTGGCAATACGAGCCTTAATTAGGAATTGGGTTATTCCGTAAAACAAATAAGATAAGATGAGAGGGGGGATCATTACTATTCTTGTTTGGTCTTTACGCACAACAATTTCATGGCAGTACCATCTCTTCTTGGATGCTAAACAGGATCAACCATGGTTGACAGTTGGATGGGAGACTACCAACGAAAACCAGGTGCTGTAAGCTATATTTCAGATGAAGTATCTGGCAAAACCACCTCTGAGGACTCCTTGACTAATAAAACTGTATAAAATTCAGGGAGGAATTGAAGGCGGCAACACATATACAACAAAACATGTTTTTAAATTTAATTTGTATTAATTTTATTGACATTCAACAGTAGTATAACATCTCCTTCATTCCAAACCAACCCATCCCCTCCCAAATACACAGCACATGTTAAAATGAAATATCTGTCAATGCATAACACTGGAATTGTTGAGTATCTTCAACTTCATATTGTAAGAATGGTATGTGTCTAGCTGTGATCGTTTGGTGGTTTAAAAGTACTAAAAATATTTTGACCTATATAACAATATTTGGTTTGAAAAAGTGATTTCCTGTGTAACTGTGTGGTACTTTCTTTAAAAATAGTTGTTATACTCCAGAAACTTTGTTTCTGTGGCTGCCCAAACTATGCTGAATTTGTTGAGACTCTATGGCCCCTTTTATGCCCCATTTACACTGCCAGAGAATCCATATTATCTGCTTTGAATTGGATTATATGAGTATGCACTGCTAGATAATCCAATTCAAAACTGATAATCTGGATTTTATATGGCAGTGTAGAAGGGGGCCTACATTGCCATATAAAATCCAGATTAACTGTTTTGAACTGGATTTATCTGGCTGTGTAGACTCAGAGCAAGGAGCCCCTGGTGGCTCAGTGGGTTAAAGCACTGAGCTGCTGAACTTGTTGATCGAAAGGTCACAGGTTCGATTCCGGGGAGCGGCGTGAGCTTCCGCTGTCAGCCCTAGCTTCTGCCAACCTAGCAGTTCGAAAACATGCAACTGTGAGTAGATCAATAGGTACCGCTCCGGCGGGAAGGTAACAGCGCTCCATGCAGTCATGCGGGCCACATGACCTTGGAGGTGTCTACGGACAATGCTGGCTCTTCGGCTTAGAAATTGAGATGAGCAGCACACCCCAGAGTCAGACATGACTGGACTTAATGTCAGGGGACTACCTTTACCTTTACCTTTTAATCCAGTTTAAAACTGATAATGGATTGTATATGGCAGTGTAGAAGGGGCCCTACATTGCCATATAAAATCCAGATTAACTGTTTTGAACTGGATTTATCTGGCTGTGTAGACTCAGAGCCCTTCCACACTGCCCTTTATCCCACAAACTGATCTCAGATTATCTGCTTTAAACTGGAATATATGTGTCCCCACTACCAGATAACTTGGTATAAACAGATAATCTGGGATCAGATCCTGGGATATAGGGACAGTGAGGAAGGGCCCTCAGACCCCTTCTACAGTGCCACATAATCTAGATTATGTTCTAATCTAGAGGAAACACCTGGAGGGCCCAAGTTTGCCCATTCCTAGTGTAGAGGCGCCCTAAAGAGGCCACAAACCTCAAAAGCCGCGAATGTAATGTACAATGAATGAGGATGGCGACGTGAGGAGAAGGCAAGGCCTCTGAAGGCCGCAGCCTAAGGGCTTTCCAATCAACACGAAGCCAGAAAACAGGCCGCGCCCTCGCCTTCAGGCCTTTGAGGGAGAGAAGGCCGCAAAACCTAGAGGGCGGGCGGGAGGCGGGGCTTCGTGCGGCCGGGCAGGCGGGGCTTTTCCTCGGCCCAAGGCCCCACTCCAAGCCGGGGCTCCGAGTCCATGGAGACGTGCGCCAGGCCGGAGAGAGTAAGTGGCTCAGTCCCTTCGCGTCGCCCTCCTCTCTCGCCTTCCTTGGCCTTTCCCCCCCCTCTCTTTTGCTTATTTCTCTATTCTTATCGTCTTTGGGAGACCTTTGAGTATATGCAGAGTGCATTCCTTGAGTATCTTTTTTATCATTGTTGAAAAGGTGGGCTCTTTTGTTCCAAGGCAAGACCTGTTTGGAAAAGGAGTTTTCTCAGGCCCCTTCTACACTGCCATGTCCAATCCGGATTATTAGGTTTGAACCGGATTATACGGCAGTGTAGACACGTATAATCCAGTCAAAAGCAGATAATGTGTCCAGAGGAGGGCGACTAAAATGATCAAGGGTCTGGAGAAGAAGCCCTATGAGGAGCGGCTTAAGGAGCTGGGCATGTTTAGCCTGAAGAAGAGAAGGCTGAGAGGAGATATGATAGGTCAGTGTTTCTCAACCTGGGGGTTGGGACCCCTGAGGGGGTCGTGAGGGGGTGTCAAAGGGGTCGCCAAAGACCATCAGAAAACATAGTATTTTCTGGTGGTCATTGGTATTCTGTGTGGGAAGTTTGACCCAATTCTATTGTTGGTTGAGTTCAGAATGCTCTTTGATTGTAGGTGAACTATAAATCCCAGCAACTACAACTCCCAAATGTCAAGGCCTATTTTCCCCAGGCTCTACCAGTTTTCACATTTGGGCATACTGAGTATTTGTGCCAAGTTTGATCCAGATCCAGCACTCCTCTGGATATAGGTGAACTACAACTCCCAAACTCAAGGTCAATGCCACAAAACCCTTCCAGCGTTTTCTGTTGGTCATAGGAGTTCTTTGTGCCAAGTTCGGTATAAATCCATCGCTGGTGGAGTTCAGAATGCTTTTTGATTATAGGTGAACTTTAAATCCCAGCAACTACAACTCCCAAATTACAAAATCAATCCTCCCCAACCCCTCTAGCATTCACATTTGGGCATATTGGGTATTTGTACTCAATTTAGTCCAGTGAATGAAAATATATCCTGCATGTTGGATATTTACATTACGATTTATAACAGTACTAAAATGACAGGTATCAAGTAGCAACGAAAACAATATTATGGTTGGGGGTCACCACAACATATGGAACTGCATTAAGGGGTCATGGCATTAGCAAGGTTGAGAACCACTGAAAGGTAAATGTTGTCCCCTGACATTAAGTCCAGTCATGTCTGACTCTGGGGTGTGGTGCTCATCTCCATTTCTAAGCCGAAGAGCCGGCATTGTCCGTAGACACCTCCAAGGTCATGTGGCCGGCATGACTGCATGGAGCGCCGTTACCTTCCCACCGGAGCGGTACCTATTGATCTACTCACATTTGCATGTTTTCGAACTGCTAGGTTGGCAGAAGTTAGGGACAGCGGAAGCTCACACTGCTCCCCGGAGTCGAACCTGCGACCTTTCGATCAACAAGCTCAGCAGCTCAGTGCTTTAACCCACTATGCCACAGTGAGAGGAAGCCACAGGGAGGAGGGAGCAAGCTTGTTTTCTGCTTCCCTGGAGACTAGGACACGAAACAATGGCTTCAAACTACAAGAAAGGAGATTCCATCTGAACATGAGGAAGAACTTCTGACTGTGAGAGCCGTTCAGCAGTGGAACTCTCTGCCCCGGAGTGTGGTGGAGGCTCCTTCTTTGGAAGCTTTTTAATAGAGGCTGGATGGCCATCTGTCAGGGGTGATTTGAATGCAATATTCCTGCTTCTTGGCAGGGGGTTGGACTGGATGGCCCACGAGGTCTCTTCCAACTCTTTGATTCTATGATTCTATGAAAAAAATACAGATAAACTCCTCTTTCTATTGAATACTACAGCAAGAATTTGCTACGCAAAACGATGGGAAAAAAAGAAGAGATCCCAGAAGTTAGAGATTGGATAGAAAAAAAATTGTAGATATTAAAAATATGAACAGGCTAACATACGTAGTATCAAAAAACAAAGAGAACACAATAAAAGAAACCGACTGGACAAAAGTGGCAAATTATGTGAAACAAAAAATGGAAATGTAATGATACAAAAGGAAGAGAAAATAAGAGGGAAGAAAAGATAAGATAAAAGAAAGAAGAGGGGAAAAAAACCACTTGGAAGATACTCAGGAAGTCAACAAAGGAGATACATGCCATTCTCCTGATTTTTAGCCACTTATCTGCTTTTTTTCTGTTGTTTTGGGTTTTTTATCTCTCTTTTTTCTATTCTTTCTTTCTTCTTTTTCTCTTTGTACATTATGACCTCTTTCGCTTCCCCCCCCTTTTTTTCTTTTTCTCTTTAAATACTTTGTATTTTAAAAAATAAAACCTTCAATAAAGATTATTTTAAAAAAATAAAGCAGATAACGTGAATTATCTGTTTTGATAATTGACTGTAAATAGAAGGTCAGCTGCTGTCCTCACCCATTTGCCTTGTTTTTTTTACTTGTGTTCTATTTTGAAATGGTCATATGACTGGTCAAATAAATAAATTATTATACTTTGATAATCTGTTTTATATGGCAGTGTAGAAGGGGCCCCAGAGACACTATCTTTATTGCTTTATAAAGTCTGGATTATCTTCTTTGAACTGGATTATGTGGCAGTGTAGACTCGAAACAGATAATGTGGATTATTTTATTTGATAATCTGGATTATATGGCAGTGTAGTGCCAGCCTGAGCGCATCTTCTACACCAGGGGTCCTCAAACTAAGGCCCGGGGGCCGGATACGGCCCTCCAAGGTCATTTACCCGGCCCTCGCTCAGGGTCAACCTAAGTCTGAAATGACTTCAAAGCACACAACAACAACAATCCTACTCATCAGCCAAAAACAAGCCCACACTTCCTATTGAAATTCTAATAAGTTTATATTTGTTTAAATTGTTCTTCATTTTAATTATGGTATTGTTTTAAGTGTTAATTTGCACTACAAATAAGAGATGTGCAGTGTGCATAGGAATTCATTCATTTTTTTTTTCAAATTATAATCTGGCCCTCCAACAGTTTGAGGGACTGTGACCTGGCCCTCTGTCTAAAAAGTTTGAGGACCCCTGTTCTACACTGTAGAATGAATGCAGCTCAGCCTGCTTTAACTATGTTGCCTCAATACTATGGGATCGAGAAAGACCTCTTCTACACTACCACATACAATCCAGACTATGTGGATTATCTGCTTTGATAATCTGGATTATATGGCGGCAATCGGGCAATCTGACAACTAGATAAGGACAATTAGACGACTAGGACTGACAGGACTGACAAAGTGGAATTGAAATTTGGACTATCAGATGGCGAACGCTGAGCGTTAATTAGGGATATCGGTTTTATTGGTTTTATTGTTGTAATGTAGAAACTGACTGTTAATTGTTTAACTGCTGCTATATTGTTTTTATGCTACTGTTATGTTGATGCCGGCATTGAATTGTGCCTTTATAAGCCTCCCTGAGTCCCCTCCGGGGTGAGAAGGGCGGGGTAGAAATAACTGAAATAAATAAATAAATAAATAGGAGCCAGAGTTGTGGTGGTATCAAGTTTTTTGTCTTCTCTGCCCAAGGCTGGATCGACACTGGTGTATATCCCTGGATCGACACTGTTGTATATCCCATACTGGATTGTATGAGTCTACACTGCCAGATAATCCAGTTCAAAGCAGAAAATCTGAGATCAGATCCTGGGATTTAGGGCTGCGTAGATCCATCCCAATACTGCAATGCAAAGTACAACTCCTGGGATCTTATAGCATTGAGCCATGGCAGTTCAAGCAGTGTTAAACCGAATGAATTCAGGTGCACCCCCAGACTGAATCAACACTGCCATGTCATCCTATTTCCCAATGCAGATTTACTGCTGTGAACTGGATGATTTGAGTCTACACTGCCATTATCCAGTTCAGTGAAATAAATCTGCATTCAGAAACGGCATTGCAAGCAGTCGCCAAATTATGAACAAGATTGGTTTTGTAGATTTGTTTTTAAACTGAATTTGTATATTCATCGGAACAAGTACATTTTCAAAGTGTAACTCCAGTCATATATATATATACACACAGACACACACACACACAAGCTTGGGATAGCATAGGCAAGGGTGAGCATTCTGTGTTGTTTTGCTGTCTGTGCTCCTGTTCAGAAGATTTCACCTCACTTTCTGTCTCTGAGAATTGGATTTTGAAAAATCTACCTTGTTCTGGAAACAAGGATTAGTGAGAAAGCTTCCATGGAGTTGATTTCGCTCACTTCCTGTTGTCTCACTTCCATCCTTAATTATAAATGCAATATATTTCTTGTATTGTCGAAGGCTTTCAAGGCCAGAATCACTGGGTTTTTGTAGGTTTTTTCAGCCTATATGGCCATGTTCTAGAGGCATTCTCTCCTAACGTTTCGCCTGCATCTATGGCAAGCATCCTCAGAGGCAGTGAGGTCTTCATTGCCACTGAAGATGCTTGCCATAGATGCAGGCAAAACATCAGGAGAAAATGCCTCTAGAACATGGCCCTATAGCCCGAAAAAACCTACAACAACCCAATATATTTCTTTTCTAACAAAACAAAAATCAGTGTATCCTACTGAGTGATATAGTATCCACTGACCTATTTGCTGGACCTTGCGTGGAAAAATTAAAGAAGCTCGTTTCTAGAGGAGGATTCAGCAAGGTTTAGCCTGTGGGCCACATGCAACCCCTGGGATCCCTAAATGTGTCTCTTGCCTCCATTCCCGACAATAGCTCCAGCCCTCAACCCCACTGATTTTTGTGAAATTCCAGCCATTTCCCCCAAACAGACCAAAAATGCCTGAAAGAGTGATTTCCTTCTTGCAAAGCCCCCCCAAATTTTCCCCAAAACCAGAACAAATTGACCCAAAATCAACCAAAATTGTCACTGAAATTTGCTAGTGTGACCAAACCAATAGATGCAGTTGCCTATTTCTGTCCTAGAGAATTTCATTTGTTTTTTTCCAGCTCTGAGCTAAATATTTGCTGTGACTTAGTCCACATGATGATGTTCCTGTGCTGTGCATCAGTCGGATATAGCTTGGCTGCAATGTTCTAGGAAACTTTAATTATATTGCAAACTATTTTATCCGGTCTTCTCTATAGACTGAAAGAGGTTAATAGTTTAGCTTTTTCATAATTGGAACAGCAGAAAACTCAATGGTTATTTCTTCAAGGTTTCCAATAACAGCATATTGCAGAAAGCATTTTAAAAATTCTCTCCAAACATCAGACCATTTTACACATAGGTGCCTCTGAAGACCAGCTTGGGCTTTAATGGACCTCCATAGGAAGCTTTGCATTATGCATAAGGACACTTTAGGTAACTAATTTTGTTCTGGAAAATCTGTGAATTTGCTCAGAATATAGAAGCTCAGCTTTTTTTAAATGGTGCTTTCTTTCGGATGCTTAGACTGGTTGCTGCAACTTTCAGTGACCAGGCAACAAGGAAAAAAAGATGGGAGGAAACTCCAAATTTCCTATCTCCTTCATTGAAAGTTCAGTGTCTTTCAGACTACAAGCCTTCTTCAGGGGCAATGTACCTTAGGGTTGCTGTAATTTGGAAACAACTTGAGGACGCACAACAATGACAAAACTGCCAGAATAGTATAGTTGTTCGGGTGCTGGGATGAATCTGGAGACCAGGGTTCAAATCCTTACTTGGTCATGGAATCTCAGTGGATGATCCTGCAAAGTCTTGTTGTCAGAAGAAAAAGACAGATCCTCCTCTCAATAAATGTTGCCCAGAAAACCCTGTGATAGGTTCTCTTTAAGTCAGAAACGATTTGAAGGAACACAACAACTTTTCTGTGGTGGCCCCTCGGCTTTGGAACACCCTCCCCATAGAGGTACGATCAGCCCCTTCGCTGATGGTGTTTCGGAAAAGATTGAAGACATGGATGTTTAAACAAGCATTCGGTTAATCCGTTGCAACGAATTTTGATGACTAAAGGATGGGTAATCATGGACGACGAATTTTGGATTGCGATTTCAGTTACGAGATGCATGGGATTGTTATTGGTGGCCCAATAACTTGTATTGTATATGTGTTTTATGCTTTTAAATTGAATATCGTTTTTTAACTGTTGTAAACCGCAATGAGTCGCCGATTTAGGCTGAGATATTAGCGGTATACAAGCGCATTAATAAATAAATAAATAAATAAACTGTATACAAAGAAATGAACAGAATGAAGCAAATGCCAATATCTTGTATTAACACATATTATAACAATATCCGAAAAATACATTACAATGCACGATTATTCATGGGTTTACCAAGACTTAGTACAATCCCTGTATCAACCTAGTGATGTGTTCCACAGCTTCATGTGGATATATAAAATTGTTTTGATTGATGGGAGTCATCGGACCATTATATCCTCCTGAATTAATTGGTTCTTGAGTAATTTTGGAAGCTGAGGTGGTTACTGTTTGATGGAAAACCACCAGGAAATGCCAGAGATATCCAGGAAAAGCTAGGGAAGAATCTTGCCTGATGGTGACTATAGAATTAATGCAGTTTGACTCTGCTTTAACTGCCATGGTTCAGTGCTGTGGGATCTTGGGAGTTATAGTTTGGTGAGGTGCCAACTCTATTTGGCAGAGAAGGCTGACAACCTTGTAAAAGTACACCTCCCGTGATTACATAGCACTGCGCCATGGCAATTAAAAATGGTGTCAAATGGCATCTCTTGAGATCTGTCAGTCAGAGTTAGTAATACTGGGCTAGACAGAACAATTATTATTATGATTACTAGCCGTCCCCCGCCACGCGTTGCTGTAGCCCACATGAGGGTTCTCTGTGGGAGGTTTGGCCCAATTCTATCGTTGATGGGGTTCTGAATGCTCTGTGATTGTAGGTGAACTATAAATCCCAGTAACTACAAATACCAAATGTCAAGGTCTATTTCCTCCAAACTCCATCTGTGTTCATATTTGGGCATATGGAATATTTGTGTCAAGTTTGGTCCAGATCCATCATTGTTTGAGTCCACAGTGCTCTCTGGATCTAGGCGAACTACACCTCCCAAACTCAAGGTCAATGCCCACCAAACCCTTCCAATGTGTTGTGTTGGTCATGGAAGTCCTGTATGCCATGTTTGGTTCAATTCCATCATTGGTGGAGTTCAGAATACTCTTTGATTGTAGGTGAACTATAAATCCCAGCAACTACAACTCCCAGATGTCAAGGTCTATTTCCCTTAAACTCCATCTGTGTTTATATTTGGGCATATGGAATATTCGTGCCAAGTTTGGTTTAGATCTGTCATTGTTTGAGTCCACAGTTCTCTCTGGATGTAGGTGAACTACAACTCCCAAACTCAAGGTCAATGCCCACCAAACCATTCCAGTGTGTTCTGTTGGTCATGGAAGTCCTGTATGCCATGTTTTGTTCAATTCCATCATTGATGGAGTTCAGAATGCTCTTTGATTGTAAGTAAACTATAAATCCCAGCAACGACAATTCCCAAATGACAAAATCATTTTTTTTTTTGAGTGAAGGACAGACATTTGCTTGTTAGGTGTCTTTGTCCAAATTTGGTGTCAATTCGTCCAGTGGTTTTTGAGTTCGGTTAATCCCACAAACGAACATTACATTTTTATTTATATAGATGCTTATTTAATATCCTGCTTTTTCTCTCCACAAGGAGACTCAAAGCAGGTTACATTAAAAGCATTTCAATACAATTTAAATTATACAAATACACAAATATTAAAACAGAATTAAATATTATTACTATTAAAAACATTTCAGTTAACAGCCATAAAAAGATATTCAAAACTAAAAAAAACCAAGGTGGTTTCACTCAGAATAAGACAGCGTTCTGTGTTGTAGTTATGTGCCTTCAGGGCAACTCTGACTTAAGCTTTTTGTTGTTGTTTGTTGTTGGGTTTTTTTTGGGGGGGTGTTAGTAAAATTTATTCTAAGAATACTTGCCATTCTTCTGAGTACCCAAGGTCACCTGGCGAATTTTCATAGCTGAGCAGGGATTTGAATCCTGCTTTGCCAGAGGCCTAATCCAACATTGAGATCGCTATTCCACGTTGACTTTTGTTTCCTATCTTCCTAGCAGTAACATAAATCTGTAATTTGTGGAAAGAAAAACTCTGTATATTGTGCCGTAAGTCTACACACTATGCGTTTAAATATTCACAGTGTTATTTATTCTCATTCCCAAAGTGGCTGTTGATTTCGAAGACAATGACATTGATGACCACCACGGTGTCTACCAGCCAGCAAACACTACTATCCAAGATGAGACACCGCTATTGGAGGAGCCACCGGAAAAAAGATCTGATATTCACAAGCCTGAAGATCGCTTCAATTGCACCTATATTATTTTCTTCTTTTTGGGCACAAGCTCTCTTTTACCTCTAGGCTTCATAATGACTGCAAAGCCTTACTGGATATACAAACTCCAGAACTGCTCAGAACAAATCTCTTCAGCTCAGCAAGGAGCTTTGGACATTCGGGTAAGTGTAGCACGTTCACATGCTAAAATTGCTGGGTTAACTGTTCTCTTTCTGTGTTTGGATTCCATCTCCGTGTTATCATTAAAAGAGAGCACAAGTAGACTTTAAGATGCCGTGCTGATCTGTATGTGTGTGTGCATGCGCATGTCTGTGTGTAGTATGGCCGCATATGTGCGGAACCTGCACCTGCAGTTTCATTTATTCGAATATGACAAAATATGTCCTTTCTGGGCATGTTCTAAGGGTTGGATGTTCTTTCTTTCTTTCCATATTATCTGAGGTCCATGTGAACTGTCAGGATGTATCCTGTGGACAGGGGTCATACTAAATATGCAAACTTGAGTTTTTCAGAACCATAATAGTAACACTACTCTATTGCTATTGTGTCTCACCATATTCCCCTCCCATTCAGTTTTTAGGTACTGCTTCATTATGTGGACAGAGGCCACCAGGGAGCACGAGAGAGAGAAAGATAATCTATTTTAATGGGAGAGGCGGGTGGGTTGAAGAAATAAAACCATTTCCCCCTGTGTTCCTGTTATCCCCCACCCCACCTATGTCCATATTGTGGAAACAGCCCTTGTTTATGATATGGGAAGGGGGGAGGGAGAATAATTAGCAAAAATTGGGAACATGGTTTTCCTCCTTCAATTCTCTGTATTATTTATTTACAGCTTTTATATTCCGCCCTTCTCACCCCGCAGGGGACTCAGGGCGGATTACAGTACACATATATGGCAAACATTCAATGCCAATTTTGACATACAAACATATACAGACATACACAGAGGCTATTTAACTTTTTAACTTTTTCTGGCCGCCAGGGGAGATGTCGCTTTCATCGTCCATCTGCGACGCTGATGAAGCACTTCCGCATTCCCCGCATGCTTCCCCGCTGGAATGCTTTGCTGGAGTCTTCTTTATGGCCTCATAAATCAGTTAATTTAGCCTCCCCACACTTTTAAGGTGGTACCTAATTTTCCTACTTGACAGATGCAACTGTCTTTCGGGTTGCAAAGGTCAACAACAGGCTACACACAATTGGTTGGAAACCCACTCCAACCCGGGCTGGCTTCGAACTCATGACCTTTTGGTCAGAGTGATCTTAATGCAGCTGACACTCAGCCAGCTGCGCCACAATCCCGGTGCACAATGGACTATCCTTCTGTATATTGAGCCGTAAGTAAAATGGACTATCCTTCTCTCGAGCACCCCCTAGTGGCCTTCACCTGGATAATGGAACAGTACCAATTTGGATATCTTTTTCTTTTTAATTTTGTAGACACTTTTGGCTTTAAAAACTGGTCACCAAAAGCAGTGTTCCTTGAGTGATCATTTCTCTCCCTTCTGTCCCATAAGACTTGGATTATGTCCATTGCATTGCAAACCTCCTTTTGCAGGATTTCTCAGTTTCTTTACTTTCTTAGAGGGCCCTTATTTGCTGCATGAAAGAGATATCTGTGGGGCTTTTTTTATCCTGTTTTGTAACATGTTGCATGCACATGTCTTCTTTCATCCATTTGGGACTTACAGGTTTAGGAAGAATAAAAGGCGATAGTGTAGATGCAGTGTGATGATATGTCCAAACGTATCTCCCACCTCAGAGATTAAGATCGCCTGGGAAGGCCCTGCTCTTGGTCCCGCCTTCTTCACAAGCACAACTTGTGGGGACGAGAGACAGGACCTTCTCAGTGGTGACCCCTCAGCTGTGGAACTCTTTCCTCAGCGGCATTAGATCAGTCACCTCCCTCCTGGCCTTCAGAAGGAAAGTGAAAACATGGCTTTGGGATCAAGCCTTTGGGGAATAGTTGGGTGGTCAGCAGAAAGCACAGAGAACTGAATTTGTATGTTTGGTGTAGAGAAGTGTACTTCCTGCCTTTAGCAGCCTGCTTGGTTTCTATACCAGGAATCGAAGAACATAAGAATGCTGCAGTTTCACCTTCCCATGTCTGTTCATTCCTTTATTTAGAGTTCTCTTTGACATCTTGATATAGGTAGGTGAAATGTGAAATATTTTTGCTGCCTTATGTAGGAATCCTAATTCATATAGGTATAAAAGAAATAAGGTAGGGTCTGGATGGGAAAACTCTTGATAAGAGGCTTTGCACTGGGTGATAACACAAAGTATATAGCTTTTGAAATTGCACTCTGACTCCATCTAATGCTGCTCATCTTGCAGACATATGGGATTTTTGTAGTGATGCATGCAGCACAGCAGCTTTATGGGTACATAATTAGAAATGCTCTTGAAATCAATGGCACTTTTAAATGCATGATCCACTTGGCTCACAGTGCTGCAACTTTCAAATCTGGATCCATCAGATTTATTAAAAGATATAGATGGAATTATCACTGCAAGCTCTTCCAAGTATACTCAAGCTCCAATCAGTATGTGATGGCATGGAAGTTTAGTGTCATGCCACATCAGAACTTGACGTTAGTTTTTGGTAACTTGCTGTCTTTGAGGTCCTGGGAGATCTGTATTCAACTCTCTGTATCCATAGATTGTGTACCTACAAGTTCCACTATCCACAATTTGATTTTTTTTTCCAAAAAATTAACCACTGTATATTATGAGAGTTGAGCATCCATGGATTTTGCTATCCATGTGGTGAAGTGACCCTATCCCCCAGTAAATACCAAGGGCCCACTGTACTGCAAATCCTAGCTTGGGTATAGCAGATTTAGAGGAGTTTCTGGACAGCTGATACAAATCCAAACAATCTTGAGGGATGGGTGGTCTTTGCAGTGCCCTATGAGAAGAGGGAATGGCCAGCAGCTCATATTTTTGCAGATTTAGATGTTGTGGTTTATTTAGGGTCCGGAGTTTTAATGCTGGGCCGTATGTGTTGCACGCTATCTGCACATGGAATGGTATGTATGAAACTGGATCCCCCAAGGTTTGTTTTTCTGCCCGGCAGTGTCTGAAGGTTCGGATGTAATCAGAGCAGAAATACTGATTTGGCCATGGTGGTCCACGCTCTGGTTACATCCCGAATAGATTACTGCAACGCGCTCTACATGGGGCTGCCTTTGATGGTTCAGAAACTTCAGTGGCAGCCAGATTACTAACTGGGGCGGCATACAGGGAGCATACCACCCCCCTGTTATGCCAGCTCCACTGGCTGCGGGTCCATCTCCAAGCCCAATTCAAAGTGCTGGTTTTGACCTATAAAGCTCTATACGGTTCTGGCCCAGCTTACTTGTCCGAACGCATCTACCCTTATGTCCCACCTCGCAATTTAAGATCATCCAAGGAGGCCCTGCTCTCGCTCCCGTCAACAGCGCAAATGTGGCTGGCGGGGACGAGGAGCAGGGCCTTCTTGACTGTGCCCCCCCCCTCCCTGCCGCTGCTTATGGAACACACTCCCAAAGGAGGTAAGATCTGCTCCCTCCCTCCTGACTTTTAGAAAAAAATTAAAATCATGATTCTGGGACCAGGCCTTTGGACAATAGCTGTATGCAGCTGTTAGTGGGACAAGGACTAGAATGGCGACTCGACTGATGAGATTGTTTTATGGTTTTAATAACTGTTTTGATATTTGATGATGTACAGTTTTTAATATGATAAGTGTGGTTTTATTGTTGTAGTTGTAAGGCATTGAATTTTTGCCATTATCTATGTGTAAACCGCTTTGAGTCCCCCTAGGGGTGAGAAAAGCAGTATATAAATGCTGTAAATAATAATAATACTGTGGAATGAGAGGAGTAGAGAAGCTAGCATGGCTTCAGTGTCAGTATTCATCCCATCAGCTATGTGATGCTTTACAAAATAAATACAAGCACTAGTGCACGTTGGTCCTCCGTCCTTTCTTCAGGTAAAAGAACTTGCAGCCTTGGATACATACATATAAGAGGCTGATAGTGTTAGGGGAACCTGCTGCTGCCCCTCATCCACATAAGCAGAGAACTCTGATGGAAAAAATGGCAAAAGCCCCTTTTTGGTGAAGCAGGGCAGTTGACCTCATTGTGTACTTTCAAGGGAAGAGGTATGGCAAAGGAGATTAAACACTTTTGTCCCCTGGCATTGCTGGCAAAATCAAAATTGGAACTTCCAGGAGCATTATGAAAGTTGTTTTGTTTCAAGTTAGGAGAGCCAACATTGGTCCTTTAAAATTTGCTTCTTCTCATTTTACGGGGGTTGAATAAAAAGTAATGCCTCCACCTTCATAACTCCTCAACAGATGGCAGTACTGGTATGTGGCAGGTACTGGCTTGTTCAGTAGACTCTCCTCTACAGTTCAATTTTGGCGGGAAGCCTTAGCATTGAACAGTTGTGTTGTTAAGGTGCAAAGTACGGAACCCTGCGCAGACGGTCGGTCAATGCGACTTAAGCAACGTGCAGTCATTGAATTCTTGACAGCAGAAGGTGTCACCTCAACATCTTTAAACTTACTCGCCAACAACGCACAGTACTCACATCAACACAGTCACCATAAACAGCTTGCATTCTCTGATGAATCTCCTTTGGGGTGACACCTTCTGCTGTCAAGAATTCAATGACTGCACGTTGCTTAAGTCACATTGACCGACCATCTGCACAGGGTTCCATACTTCGCACTTTAACAACACAACCATTCAATGCTAAGGCTTCCCGCAAAAATGGAACTGTAAAGGAGAGTCTACTGAAAAAGCCAGTACCTGCCGCATACCAGTACTGCCATCTGTTGAGGAGTTACAAAGGTGGAGGCATTACTTTTCATTCAACCCTCATATTTGCCTTGATGGTCGGTCATTCTGTTGCCTTACCCTAATATTTTCCTATATTCTTCATGCCTCTGTTATGGCATCTAACCATGCCCTAAAGACTGACAATACAATTTGTATTCTGTGTGTTTAGTTGCTAGTTGCTGGCACCAGTTGCTAACACTTCAGAGTACATGTCTTGATCCCGGAAACATGATGTGCCTTCCTTCAGGCAAAAGAGGAATCATAGCTGAGTGCTTCTTACAGTCTAGAACAGGGGTCCTCAAACTAAGGCCCGGGGGCCGGATGCGGCC